AAAAAAAAAAAAAAAAAAAAAAAAAAAGTGTGCATGAATATCAATTTAAAATCATCATTTGAAGGGTATTTTCAATAATTAAAAAAAAACTATATTTTGAAATCTGACTTTTGACTGTTAACTCAACAGTGATTTTATAATAACATTGAAATCTTAATCCATGAGTTTATCAAAATATTGAGATATTCAACAGTTTTTACAGAACATGGTATAAAAAATGGTTTTAATTATCACTTTTGATCACGTAAACAGGCAAGAACAAAGATCATGGCAACATTAGAACTGTCTGTTATATAAAAGTTTAAAAGTGTTTATAAAAAATAATATTGGTACAGTATTATCATTATTGGCACTGACATGTTATAAACTTTAGTTAACGCACAAAATCAGACTACAAGAGGCAAAACATTGATCAGACTTAAACGATATTTGTGGCCTGTATAACTCGAGTCATTCACGGATCGCCTAACACAACATACCGGTATAATACACATACCTGTACGCTACTGTAATCCTACCACACATATAACGGTATACATACCTGTGAAATTTGCACCGATATGTCAAAATCTAACCCTCTATTTTTATGATATTTCACGAACGATTTTTAACAAATTTGTCACCATTGATTCGGTATCACCTACCTGTAGATTTTTAGATGGGGACATGGCAGGATAAACGTTGATTAGTTTTTGCCGTGCACACCTTTGCTAGCTTACTCTCTATAGAGACAACATTGATTACACATGGCGGTAGTGTTGTCAGGACTTGTCACTCAGACGCTTTGAAATTGGGGCCTTACCAGGGGTAAAATGAACTCTCGAACTTACCAGGGGTAAAATGAACTCTCGTATAATCAATACTTTATTAATTGCAAGACGTAGTGATTTATCAATGTGAACTAATCCCATTAAATCAGTCTTGTTTACTTTAACTGAATTCTACTTGACGGACTTCCATATAGTACCCCCTCTCTCTAATATCTCGAGAAGAAAGTTCCAAACATTTATGATTGAGGTCTTGACATAAAACTTTTTTTCTATTATGAACACCATCAGCTAGCTCTGACTTAAATTATCCGGCATTTAAATAGCCTAACTCTTGTATATATTATAGATTGTATTGATGCGTCACATGTAATCTAAGCTAGCGATCATACCGGTCACCAAAACACTGAAAAACAAACTCGTACACCAGCATATATGCACAAGGGCAGCAATTATAATAGTTATGCACATTTGCTATTTGAATAGTAAAACGAGTATCAGTGTGTGAGTATGAGTGTATGGGTTTGTTTTATATATGGGTTTGTATTATATATGGGTTTGTATTATATATGGGTTTGTATTTTATATGGGTTTGTATTATACGTGGGTTTGTATTATATATGGGTTTGTATTATATATGGGTTTGTATCATACGTGGGTTTGTATTTTATATGGGTTTGTATTATATATGGGTTTGTATTATACGTGGGTTTGTATTTTATATGGGTTTGTATTTTATATGGGTTTGTAT